CTCCGTGTCTCTAGCGTTTACTTCCTGCTGCCCTCTTCCCTGGGCTTGGGTACCAAGCTCTGGGCACAGCTCGGAGGCAGGGTGTTACCCCCAAGAACTGGAGTTCTGCCTCACTGAGATGGGAATTGGGGTGACTTGACCCATCAGGCTGTGTGACTTTTTGGGCCTGCCGCTCACCCTCTCTGGGCCTCCTTACTTTGTCTTTACTGTTTACAGAACACTTTATTTCGCTCTCTGGACGCTGGCGTTTGACTCCACGTTATAGACAGAACTGGGACCAGTCCAGGGTTGCAAGTGTAGGGGTTGGAGGAACTAGACCATGTGATCTGAGAGCCTCCGAATTGCTCTCTGCAGGACCCTGTGACTGACGGGTAGATGGACAGACAGTCCTCATAGGCCTGGATTTCGCTGAAGCTCAGTTCCACATGTGTGGAATGAGGTGACAGCAGCACCTCACACTTGGGGTGGTCCTGCACACTTAACCCTCCGTCGGGCACAACTGATCTCACAGATTCATTGCACACAAAGATGCCGCTATGAAATACGTCTTTACCGTACTAAGTCACAAACCCGACTGGCGATAGGTTACAGTAAAGGGGGAAGATACAGAAGCGATGAGTCACGATACTTAAGTGTTAGATATTTGAAAATTTGTGTGCAATGAATCTGTGACATCAGTTGCGGCCGACGGAGGGTTAAGAAGGTAACAGGAATAAACAGCCTGGTAGCTGAGGGAGCTCGGTGAGATGGTGATGTTCCCACTGTTGTCCCTCAGTTTAGGGACTCCGGCCAGAGGCTGGCTTTGCCCTGTTCCCCAGGAGGGTTCTTGTCCTTGACCTTCCCAGTGTCACCCGCTCTGTCTCCTCTTTTCTGGGCTTCAGGAAGCAATGGAGACGGGGACTCATTCTCCCTAAGGGCTTCGCTAGTGGCGCAGAGATACCCAGTGGCCCAGCTCAGAGCTTCCATGGGGTGGCAGGAGATGGATTTACGGTTCACATCCCAGAATCCTCTGAGGGCCTGGGCCCCGGATGGGACCTTGTGACTGTGGGAAACTCTTCTGACCCTGAAACCCAGCAGGAATGCCACTATCTGGGTCACCCTGGTCAAGCCACTGCCCCTCTCTGGGCATTAGTTTCCATCCCTATAAAATGGAGCCCTGGAACTGGGGTTCTGGATTCTACTTGCCAATCACGTGCCAGTCAGCACATCAGTCTTTCCTGTGAGGTACAAATTGAGAGGCAGGAGCTGTGAAGGAGAGCTGTGATGTGCCCAAGGTCACCCAGGGAGTGGCTGAGCAGCATAATCAAAACTGGGACTCCGAGCCATGCTCTCCCTCTGAACCTGTGTCTGAATTCTCAGTAGAGGTTGTGGTCTTGCCAGGGGAGCCACGGTGGCACGGGGCTGTGTCCCAAGTGGGCCCAGGGCGGCCCTGAGACAAGGATGGTTTTAGAAATCCCTGGGGCTCGGGCCGAAAATCTGGGACCGCCTAGCTGAGGTTAGACTGGTTGTTCCTAAAGATTAATTTCCAGGCCCATGTCCTATGGCCTAGGGTGGGGCAGTGACATGCAGGAGATGACAGCTGCTCCCTCCCCACTGTGGCTTCTGGAGAGGACACAGAGCCTCGGGTAGGCTCAGGTGGGGGTCATTGTGTCCAGTTCCCTGCATTCACAGAGAAGCTTGGGGGAGAAATGCTGACCACCTTGGTCCCCTAGGGACAGCTCATCCAGGCCCCTCCTTCAGAAGTGAAGGAGTCCAGGTCACATAGAGGCCAGGACAGATTCCGGAGGAAATCAGTGTCCCAATATTGAGGCCACTGCTGCCCACACATCTGCACGTCCTCAGGGCCAAACCAAGCAGACTTGGTGGGCATCCGTCCTGCAGAGTGGGAGGGAACGGATCAGTCTGGCTGTGTGTCTGTGGGCAGACCTCTTTGCCTCTCTGAGCCAGTTTCCTGAAAACTGGGCATAACATTGACTTCCTAGAGCTCTCAAGAGAATTAAAAGGGATTATATCTAGGAAAGGGGACACTTCTCTCCCCCACCACCCCAAATGACCCCAAGGAAGGTTTTTACAACCTCCAAACATTGCCTTCTGTGCCTGAAACTGTGTAGTCAGAGGAGGGAGCAGCTGTTCGGTGGGCATCCACTTTGTGCCAGATGCTGAACATGTGTACTCTTATTTAATCTTCACACTGGGAGGTATTATTCCTCCCTTTTTTACAGATGGGGAAACGGAGACACAGAGAGCTGAGTCCTTTCCCTTCTGCTGTCTGGGTAGGGCCCAGGGGTGGAGGAGACACAGGCCAGTTCAGAGCTAGTTCCAGGCAGGCACAGTGCTCCAGGGGTGAGCAAGACAGACCTAGTCCTGCCCCTCAGCACTCACAGCTGGAGGGGGCACAGACAGGAAACAGACTCAATTCCCAAACACTGACTTCAGAGCACCTGTGTACAGTCCTGCTCAGGAGAGGCTCACGTCAGGGTGGAGGAGAGGCTGACCTGGTTGGGGGGCGGGGGGCCTGGGGAAGCCCCAGAGAAAGTCTGAAGGATGAGTAGGAGCCAAGGGGACCATCAGGGTAGGCCAGAGTTCAGATTTGGGGGTGAAAACAAGTTCAGCTATCCAGGAGCTGGGAGTGTGAGAGGGGCAGGGGCCAGTTTGTGGAGATGAGAAGGAATTTTAAACTCCATGTGGACCACTCTGGGGAGCCAATGAAGGTTTTAAGCAGGGAGTGAGTGATGGGTTCAGATTGCATAGAGACGCTTGGTGCCCCTCTGCACAGCCTGGGGCAAGGAGAAGGCAGCTAATTCCAGATTACAAGAGCAGGGTCCACCAGACAGACCTGATGAATTCAATGCAAGGGTCCGAAGGTGACCCCTGGTGTAGTTGGTCTTGGAGGGGACAGTGAGGCCCTTCACAGAGGCGGGAAACGGGGATGAGCAGGAATGGGCAGGGTCATTGGGCCCAGGGAGACTTCTGAGGAGGTGTCTAGCTGCTGACAGTGAGGTTGAGCTTGTGGGCTCAGGCTAAAGGAGCCCCAACACTGGGGAGGAGAGGAGGCCAGGGAGGGGGAAAAGCTGGGAGGGGCAGGCAGGAGAAGCAAGCGGTAAAAGCCAGGGACAAGGACAGTGACACAGTCCAGGCTTTGGCCTCCAAAGTTGGTGTCTCCAGGAAGAACAGTGAGCGCGGAAGGGGACAGGTTTTGGGTGGGCCGTTGAGGGAGCGATAGGAGGGTGGAGGCCAGGACGCGGTGGATCAGTGTGTGCGCTGCAGATGAAGTAAAGGGTCGATGCCGGAGATGGCGGGAAGCAGGAGGTGGGAAGAGACAGAAGGAGGCTGCTGCCTCAGTGGAGTGCAGGCAACAACCCAGGCACAAAGGAGAGGGCGTTCTCTTCCCAGCTCAGGCAGCTGGAGCCTTCAGTCCCACGCGGGCTGCAGGAAGGCGACCGTGGCCTCGCTCTTGGACCGCAGGGGTGCAGCCCCGCGATCCGCGGCTCGGCCCCACCCACTGTAGCCTCCTGTGGACGCCGGTATGCTCAGGGTCGGTCCACCGGAGGAGGCTCTGCTCCCACGGGTGGCCACGTTCGCTCCCTAAGATGCCTGGTCCCCGGGGTCTAAGAGAGGAGCTCCTGGGGGGCGCCGATGCCATCCCCAGTCCCCTCGGCCGAGCCAGAGGGTCGGAGCCTGTGTTCGAGGCCTAGCTGTGCGGTGTGGACCCGAGACCCCTCCGCCACGCGTTGGGAGGTGGGGTGGCCCAGGCCGGCGACTTCCTCCAGTTCCCCCTCCCTGTCGGGTGCGCACAGCCGGGTCTCATTACCTCCCATCCCCCTCCCCTCGCGCCCCGCGTGCCGGGGGGTCTCCGCGGCCGGGGGAGGGGAGGATTCTAATCAATCCCAGGCCGGAAATTCTTCCCGAGGGGCCCGGCCGAGCTGCGGGAGTGAGGGGGGCCCCGGCGCAGAGCCTGGCAGTCCGCCCGCACCCCCCTCCTCTGAGCCCGCCCCCCGCATCATGGAAACTGGGCCGCCAGCCGACCCCCGCGCTCCGCTCCACATTCTTGCCTCTGGGGAGGGGCGGGGCACGAAAGCCAGGCCGCCCCCTTCAGGCCTGTTGGCCTGGGTTCCGCGGCCTTCAGTGCCCCCCTCCTGCTTTGGGACAAGCACTGCCCCCCTCCAAATTGGGCTCATCTTCTTAGGGGGGGGGCTAGAGGGGCAGGATCTGCGACACCCCTTTTGATTCTCTCAGCTCTGGGGGCCAGGCGCATCCCTATTCTAACTCCCCCTCCGTGATTACTATTCATTGAGCGCTTGCGGGGGTGTCCGGGGCTGTGCCCGGCGTTGTGCGCCCCGTCCTCACTGTCCAAGTTTCGCCCTTCAGCATCCTGCGAAGCAGACACCATTATGTCCATTTTACAGGTGAAGGCAGTGAAGCTCAGATAGAGGAAGGGCTGGCAGAGCAGCAACTCCGGCCGCCTCCTACGGGCAGCTCCCCGGACGGCGCTGGGGACCAGTGGGCCCTCAGACGCCCCCGCCCCCGCGAGTCCTCTCCCGGGCGCCTGGACCGAGGGGCTCTGCGAGGTGCGGGAGGGCCTGGGGCCTTCAAATCCCGTCCGCACGCTCAGGCTGCGGAGCTGGGCAGGGGACTCTCGGGCTCCGGTCTCAGTTTCCCCACGTGGGAATAGAGCCCTCCCGGCCCTTTGCGAATGACACAAGCGGGGGACTAGGGTCCCCGGTCCTCTGGGTCACCAGGCGCGCGCACTGCGCTTACCTGCGACCCTCAGCCCTGAGCTGTTGCTTTCTTCCAGTTGCGGAGCCTGGCGGGGCGCGGGCCAGACTGTACCCCCGGCTCCTTGAGGGCGGGGCCGGGGAGGCGCGGGGCGGGGCCCGGGAGGGGCGGGACCGGGGGCCCAGAATCGGCGGAGACCGCGGCAGTGCCGCGAGCCGCGGCGCGCGGACTCTGACCGGGACCCACCCGGGCGCTGCGGCGCCAGGTGAGCAAAAATAGGGTCCCGGGGTTCGTCTCCCACTTTCCTCAACTTTTTGTTTGGTCCCTCCCTCTGGGAAGGCCCCGGGGCGGGCGGGAGCCGGGTCCCCCCTTCCACCCCCCCACCCCCCCGCCAGAGCGTGGACGCGGGCGGAGGCGGGATCCTGGAGTGCCAGGACCTGGTCCCAAGCAACTTCCCGCGCCCTGGGACATTCGGACTGTGTCTCCAAGTTTCGGCCTCCCTGGGGTCCCCAGCGTCGACTCACGCCCTACAGAGACTTGGGGTCTCTGAGCATGTCTTCATCTCTGCACGCCTCCGACTCCCTCCCCTCACTGAGGGTAGCACTGGGGCTCAGGGGTGACCTTTCCGGAGTTGGGACTGGGCGCCAGCTCTGGCCTGGGGCGGGGTAGTCACTTCGCCAGCTTGGGGTTGGGGAAAGGACTCCACATTCAGAGACAAGGGGGAAAGGGGCCTCGTCTCCTGCCAGGAAGCTCCCGTGGCTGTGCTGAGAAGTGCCCAGCGCTGGGCTAGGTCCAGAGGCTCGGCGTCGGTCCTGGTGGAGCTCCCCGCCTTGGGTGGCGGTGTGACTCCAGCAGGCTCCTCTCTGGGCTGCAGTCGCCTGCCATCTGTGAAAAAGCAGGCTGTAGACGCGGTAGACGCTGCGGCTCCATGCTAGGCCCTGGGATTTCAACTCTCCTGTCGGTGGCAGGGATGGATGTCCTGGTTTGAGCTTCAGGGGTGCGGATGGGGAGTAGGTGGGATAGCAAGGCCTCCTCCCTGGGGCCTAGGGGCGGGTTCCAGCGCTGGAGCTGTTTAGAAACCAGATTGGGGGTGTGAGGACGCGCCACTGGACCGCAGGTCCTAACCCCCCTCTCCTGAGGCTCCAGGCGCCTGGGCGGGGCCCCCGTTTCCTCCCACACCCTCTCTTCCCTGGGAGCCACACCACACGCAGCCTTGTTACTCCTGCCCCGGCCTGGATCCAGTCCCCAGGTCTCGGGCCAGGTCGGACCAGCAGCCGGGAGGGGCTTCAGCGGGGAGGCCCGGACTCTGAGGCGGCCCGAGGCGGAGGGGCGGTGCTGCTCCGGCCGGGACGCGGGCCATTGAGGCCTCGGGCGGAGGAGGCTGGAAAGGAGGCCAGGCGGCGGGAAAGGGGGATGATTCATCCCGAAGAGCCCGAATTGGAAACGCTGCAACCTGGGAACAGCCTTGTCCCGGCCGACGGGAGAGCCAGGAGGGGAGTCCGTTGGACAAAACCCTGCACCGGGCCCCGCAGCTCCCCGCCTCCTGCCCGCCACAGCCCGGCTGCGGGGGCACCGGGCAGCCTCTTCCGTTCGGAGTTTAAAGAAACCCTGGGCAATGTCAGCCGCTGGTCGTGGTCAGAGCGGTCCTCCTGGAGTCTTGCTCAAGTCTCTCCTGCTGCAGCTTCTGTGCTGACTGAGGAGGCCTGGAAGGAGGCGGCGGGCGGGAGGAGGCTGTAGTCAGGGACACCCCCTCCTTCCTACGCTGCGGTATGTAAAGCGCAGTAGGGGGAAGTGGGGCCCGCGAGCGACCCCAGCGGACCCGGGCGGTCTGCGCGCCACCTCCCTTCTTTACTACGGTGCAGCCACGTGCGGGGGTGAGGTCGCGCCCTGGCAGGACTTACCCTGGAGGCGCTGCTGCTGGTGGCCCCACGCCTCCCGAGGCCGGGTACCCGCGGGCTGGCGAAGAGGGCGCAAGCGGCCGGAGCCCCGCAGCCAACGATGCGCCAGGGAGCAGCCGGAGCCCCCCTCCCTCCTCTCCGCCCGTGGGCCGGGCCAACTCGGGCTTCTGCCGCGCAACCCTGGCTCGGAGCGCCGCTGCGGAAAACCGGAGTGGGGGCGGCTCCCCGCCTGGCAGCCCGGGAAAATCCGGGGGTGGCCGCCAGGGATCTCCAAGCGTCCTGGGCGAAGCAGCCCGATCTTCCTTCTCGGATTTGGTCCCCCACCCTGGCGCTCCGACTCTAGGCCCGTCGGTTGAGTCCTTGCCTCCCGTCTTCTCTCCGCAGAGCGCCCAAACGACGGCAAGATGACGGCCGGGAGCCCCGGAGACTGCGGGGAGGCGCGGAGGAGCCCCGAGGGCCGCGTCGCTCGCCTGGGCCGCCGCCTGGGCCGCCGCCGGCTCCCGCGCTCCCCTCCCGAGCCTCTGAGGGTGCGGGCACGGCTGCGGCTGCGCTCGCCGTCGGGGGCCTTCGCGGCGCTGGGGGCGCTCGTGGTGCTGGTAGGCATGGGCATCGCAGTGGCCGGCTACTGGCCGCACCGCACCGGGGCCCCAGGGCCCCGGGCTGCTAATGCCAGCGCACCCCCCGTGAGCGAGCTGCGACGTGAGGGTCGCGGGGCCGGCCGGGCCCATGGCCCGCACGAGCGGCTGCGGCTCCTTGGGCCGGTGGTCATGGGCGTCGGTCTGTTCGTGTTCATCTGCGCCAACACGCTGCTCTATGAGAACCGCGACTTGGAGACGCGACGGCTTCGCCAAGGAGTGCTGCGGGCTCAGGCGCTCCGGCCCCCTGACGGCCCGGGCTGGGACTGCGGTCTCCTTCCCAGCCCCGGTCCCAGGACTCCCCGAGCCATAGGCTGTGCAGAGCCAGAAAGTTGGGACCTGTCCCCGCGTCAGGGTACCTCACCTGTCCCGTCAGTGCGGAGTCTGCGTTCAGAGCCTGCTAATCCTCGCTTGGGGCTACCTGCCCTGCTCAACAGTTACCCGCTGAAGGGCCCGGGGCTGACCTCACCCTGGGGTCCGCGGACCCAGACTGGCCATGTGATTATCACCGTGCAGCCCTCTGGTTCCTGCATTGAACACTCCAAGTCTTTGGATCTGGGCCTTGGAGAGCTCCTGCTTGGGGCCCCAGCGGCTCGGGACTGTGCTCACCGAAGCTGGCCACGTCTGGACCGCCTCAGTCTGGGGGGTTATGCCAAGTTGGGAGGAGGCGGGGATTTGGGGGCCCGGGTTTGAGGAGCAGGGGACAACCTGCTATGAGGCTGCAGCATGGACCATGGTAACAGAACCAGGAGTCCCAACGTCTAGTAGATGCTTCCGTCACGTCCCAGGCTGGGAAATGGATGCACTGGCCCCAGCAGCTGCTAAGGCATCCTGAGAAATGGCAGAGAAATGCCAACTGCACAAAGTTTCAATAAGCTGGAGAGAATGTGTTTTAATGTGGAGTCTGGAGACCAGCAATGACTCGGCCTCAGGAATTCCTTCAGCCTTCCAAGTGGCCTTAACCTTGGACAGGTACCTGTGGGGGCTGGAGGTCCAGGCCAGGGTGATTGGGAGATGCACCTGGTGTCTTGGCAAACCCAAAGTGGTGGGCAAGGAGCCCTAGGACTTGGGAGGCAGGTTGAGCTGTTACAAGCTGGGACAGGCTCCCTCCAAGGTGGCACTGGTGATGGGGTTTGGACCTCTGGGAAGATGGGCAATGGGGTAGAGTTGAGACCCTTCACTGCCATCTGGGATGGGGACCCCTTTCTTTCCTCAGCCATGCAGGGTACATCCCACTAGGGCTACTCTACTGCCAATGCCTTCATGCTGAGGGTGTAGTCTCTCCCCAAATAGGTCGGAGAAGCCCCCTTCTCTCCTTTGTCATGATCTATGCTGCAAATGTTCCTCCAGTTGGCAAAAAGCATTTGCCAGTTCTCAGAAATCCTTTTATACAACGTTGAAGCTGCATTTTGGCCAATGTGGGTAGCTTACTTTAGAAAATGGTTTGAATTTGGGTCTGAAATTTCCCAAATTGTTGGTAGGGGAAGAGAACTTTAAAAGTCGATCAATCCTCAGATTCAGTCCTTTTTTTTTTTTTAAAGTTTATTGAAAAATGCAGTACAAGAAGCAAGACCAAACACATATCTGAACACTACAGCCACTTCTCTTACTACAAAAGGCCAAAACAGCAGACCTAATTATTGCCTATTTAATCTAAGGATTTTGCCAATTTGATTCTGCTGCCATAGTTCCTATTTTGTCAAGAAATGTAAACAACTACTTGATATGATTCATAATTTTTAAAAATTTTACAAAGCTCCTTCATTTTTGTCACCAAAATAATACATTTGAGAGATTTGTAAAACCACCAGCCTGGGGCTGAGATCCTGGGCAGGTATTTCCTATGAGCATTTCTTGGTGTTGGTCAGGCCACAGCTCTGGCTCCATTTCCCAAGGGGGACTGTTGTCCCCTCACCCTTGGCTGCCCTGCAGAACATAC